CACTACTAAATATATCAATACCTTTATTAAAACCTTTATCTATTTTCAAACACAAACGTGAATATAGAACTATATAATTATTTGAATAATATATAATTTTAAATACGAAAAATGCCTGTCCTGACATCTCATATGAGTAGATGATAGAGTGCCATATAGTGGAACAAAAACAAATTGATTAAATTGTTCAGTGATATTTGGTCAATTTCACTTTCTTGCTAAATCATTGAAAGCTAACTTTTTCTGCGTTTCGGGCTGTTGGTTCCTATATTTTTCTATTTTTACATTAAATTTTCAAAATATTTAATATGCACATAGGTTATAGGTACTCTCCTGCTTGTCTTTTTATATGTAGATTTCTGTCAATTATTGGAGAGGGTCGAAAAACAGCGGAGAGAGATTGAAAAATTACTTTATTATATCGTTCATATAAGATTATATAAGGTTAAATATAAATAAATAATATTATAAAATAAGGATAAATATATAGATGAAAAAGTATAAATACAGTAGAACCTCCTTGTAAAGGACAACACCTAATTGCAGAGCCAAAGTGTCCTTTAGAAAGAGGCGTCCTCTTACCGGAGAGTTGCAAAATTGTAAAAATGGTGATTTTGCAAATTAAAACTGTCCTTTGTGGAGAGGTGTCCGCTAAAGTAAGGTTCTACTGTATTTGAAAAAATTATAAATAGTGTAAAAAAATATTTATTATTTTATAAGAGAAGAATTTATATTATTGTTTAAGATTTCCATGCCTCATTTTTCATTCTAAAAAATATATATAGATATATAGGCTATTAAAAAATTTTGAATATTTTTTATTTTTCCCTCTATCTCTCTCTTTTTTTACAGATTATTAGTTTTGAGGTTTATATATTTTTTTACATTGCGTAAACTTCCCTAATTGCTTCCCTAGTGTTTTATCAATTTTAGTTTGAGCTTGTGCCTTAAATAAAATTTCTGTGTCATCCTGAAGTTTTTCTTTCCTGATTTTCCAAGTGGAAATATATATATATATGAAGTCTTCATTGGTGGCGCCCAACGCGGGGTTGAGATAGAGGGAGGAATAAAAAAATATTCACATTTTTTAATAGTCTATATATCTATACTAGCCGAATGGCCCGGGCAACGCCCGGGTTTTACCCGATTAAATGCTTTTATTCAAATACTATTCGTTACAATTATAAATTGGCGCCGTGGATGTCATTCTTGTATAATATATAAATGAGTTTTAAAAATTGTAAAAAAAAAAAAAAAATCGGCCGGGAATTGAACCCGGGCCGCCCGCGTGGTAGGCAAGCATTCTACCTTAGAACCACCGATGGTTATGAGAAATGACCATATTTGGGTATTTATTCCATTCACAAAAGCAAACGGTGACAGAATTGATTAAGAAAGAATTGATTATGACGCTGATAACTGTATATATTATCTTTTTTTAGAATGAAAAAATGAGACATGAAAAGTCTAAACAATGAGAGAAATTCTTCTCTTCAATTGTAGCGCCTATACTTTTATATAGATCCTCTTATTATTTAGAAAAAGGTATATTTCCTGATCGATTAACTAAAAGTTGCCGATGACCAACGCCATCTGTGGTAAAATATATCAACTAATCGTTGATAAAATAATCATTTTTATCAATATTAAAGTGAAATAACAGAATTCCAAGAATTTAGGTTTTTTTTTTATTATTCCTAGAAACCTGATGTTTTCACCTCAATAATCCTTTATTTTTAATTATTCCAGAATTGGCCAAAAATCCATTCTTGATTAATCAAGAGAAGCTAACCACGTTTTCTTTTTTTTTTATTCAAGAATGGGTATTAGGTCAATGCTGAAATAATTAAAAAAATCAACAAATAGTTGATATTTATTCCTACAGATGGCGCAAACCATCAGAAACTTTTATTTTCATGATCAAGAGATGCCTTTTTCTTAATTTATCCACCTGATCCCAGTAAAATTTGACTTTTTTACTATTTTTTCCTTTTAATATTGTTTTTTTTCCCTATAAATACTCCTGAACGAGACTATCTTAGATGAGATGTCATGATAGGAATCATGGCTGCGACTGATTTCGTCGCTAATTTCTAGGTAAATTTGTCTAGGTAGTTAGAGCATTATCTGAGTTTGACACTTCGCTTCTTTGTCGTTTAATCACATTCGACGATTACATAATGAAACATTGTATGTTCTTATGGCGAATTTGAGGTATTTCCCAGATGAAAATTCACAAAACTATTGTTTGATAAGTTTCGTTCAATATTATGTAACGCTGATGTCAGCAAGATTTGATTGATACAATAGCGTCGCACGGGCTCACGTAATTGCAATCTTTGTCAGGAGTGGAGTGAGATAACGCATCATTGGCGAATAAAAGGTAAGGAATATTATAAGGATAGACGCATAATTAATGAAAAACTGATTACCTATAACTTAAAAAGGCTGATGACTTTGAAAATAAAACTGATTTGTTTTTAACTTACTATTCCTTTATTGAATCAACGATAAATATTGTCTGAATCCCGATGTACATGCTAAAATGTACAACTTCCTTAATTTAGTCCATGAGTGTACTTTTTGTCTTTTTGTCTCTAGTTATATGAAAAAAGACAAATATTAACACTATATTGCAATCCCAATCAACGTAAAAATATTTGAAATTATAAGGTTTTTTTTACAGTTTCATTGGCTGATGAGATTTGTCTACCTGTAATAGTCTTTCCTACAATTCGGTAGAAGGTTGAGAATACCGCGCTATAAAAAAAACGAAAGAAAATATAACCAGAAGGAACTCAGTATTCATTATTACTCATCTTTATGGCAGTTTATAGCTGATTACTTATTTGTTGTTGTTGTTGTCGTGTCCAAAGAAGAGTCTCAGATGTCTCCAAGCATCTCCATCACATCAGCAGCAATATCCACTATCTTGCTCTTCATTGGAAAATGGGTGCCGTTGCCACGTTAGTCACCTTGGAAACGAACCAGAATTTGGTCGAATATTCCAAGGGTCCAGGGTGGACCGCAGGGAGGTGTGGTCGGGACTGGCCCCCCCCCCCCCCCCCCCCGATAACTTATTTATTCACATCAATATATATCAATTCCTTTATTAAAACCTTTAATCTATTTTTAAAACACAAACGTGAATAAAGAACTATATAATTATTTGAATGATATATAATTTTAAATACGAAAAATGCCTATCCTTACATCTCATATGAGTAGATGATAGAGCGCCATATAATGGAACAAAAACAAATTAAACATTGATTAAATTGTTCAGTGATATTTAGTCAATTCACTTTCTTGCTAAATCATGGAAAGCTTACTATGTCTGCGTTTCGGGCTGTTGGTTCCAATATTTTTCTATTTTTACATTAAATTTTCAAAATATTTAATATGCACATAGGTTATAGGTACTCTCCTGCTTGTCTTTTTATATGTAGATTTCTGTTAATTATTGGAGAGGGTCGAAAAACACCGGAGAGAGATTGCAAAATTACTTTATTATATCGCCCATATAAGATTATATAAGGTTAAATATAAATAAATAATATTATAAAATAAGGATAAATATATAGATGAAAAGTATAAATACAGTAGATCCTCCTTGTAAAGGACAACACCTAATTGCAGAGCCAAAGTGTCCTTTAGAAAGAGGTGTCCTCTTACCGGAGAGTTGCTAAATTGTAAAAATGGTAATTTCGCAAATTGAAACTGTCCTTTGTGGAGAGGTGTCCGCTAAAGGAAGGTTCTACTGTATTTGAAAAAAAAAATTATAAATAGTGTAAAAAAGTATTTATTATTTTATAAGAGAAGAATTTATGTTATTGTTTAAGATTTTAATGTCTCATTTTTCATTCTAAAAAATATATAGGCTATAAAATTTTTTTAAATATTTTTTATTCTCCTCTCTATCTCTCTTTTTTTTTACAGATTATTAGTTTTGATATTTATACATTTTATTACTCTGCGTAAACTTCCCTAATTGCTCCCCTTGTATTTTATCTATTTTAGTTTGAGCTTGTGAAATAAATAAATTGCTGTGTCATCCTGAAGTTTTTCCTTCCTAATTTTATACGTGGCAATTATATAAAGTCTTCATTGGTGGCGCCCAACGCGGGGTAGAGATAGAGGGAGGAATAAAAAAATATTCACATTTTTTTAATAGTCTATATATCTATACTAGCCGAATGGCCCGGTAAACGCCCGGGTTTTACTCGATTAAATGCTTTTATTCAAATACTATTCGTTACAATTATAAATTGGCGCCGTGGATGTCATTCTTGTATAATATATAAATGAGTTTTAAAAATTGTAAAAAAAATAAATGCATCGGCCGGGAATCGAACCCGGGCTGCCCGCGTGGCAGGCGAGCATTCTACCACTGAACCACCGATGATTATGAGAAATGGCCATATTTGGGTATTTATTCCATTCACAAAAGCAAACTGTGACAGAATTGATTATGACGCTGATAACTGTATATATTATCTTTTTTATAGAATGGAAAAATGAGACATGAAAAGTCTAAACCATAAAAGAAATTCTTTTCTTCCAATTGTAGCGACTATACTTTTATATAGATCCTCTTATTATTTAGAAAAAGACATCTCCTGATCGTGCAACTAAAAGTTGCTGATGACCTACGCCATCTGTTGTAAAAAAATATCAACTAATCGCTGATAAAATAATCATTTTTATCAATATTAAAATGAAATAACAGAATTCCAAAAATTTAGTTTTTTTTATTATTCCTAGAAGCCTGATGTTTCACCTTGATAATTCTTTATTTTAATTATTCCAGAATTGACCAAAAATCCATTCTTGATTAATCAAAAAATATAGCCACGTTTTTTATGAGTTAAAAATGGATATTAGGCCACACACAATTCTGGAATAAATCAAAATCAGCGAATAGTTGATATTTATTCCTAAAGATGGCGCAAATCATCAGAAACTTTTATTTTCATGATCAGTAAATGCCTTTTTCTTAATTTATCCACCTGATCCTAAGTAAAATTTGACTTTTTTACTATTTTTTTCTTTTAATATTGTTTTTTTTTCTATAAATACTCCTGAATGAGACTATCTTAGATGAGATGTCATGATAGGAATCATGGCTGTGACTGACTTCATCATTCTTACTCTCGGTAAATTTGTCTAGGTAGTTAGAGCATTATCTGAGTTTGACACGTTGCTTCTTTGTCGTTGAATCACTTTCGACGATTACATAATGAAACATTGTATATTCTTATGGCGGATTTGAGGTATTTCCAAGATGAATAATCACAAAACTATTGTTTGATAAGTTTCGTTCAATATTATGTAACGCTGATGTCAGCAAGATTTGATTGATACAATAGCGTCGCATGGGCTCACGTAACTGCAATCTTTGTCAGGAGTGGAGTGAGATAACGCCTCATTGGCGAATAAAAGGTAAGGAATATTATAAGGATAGACGCATAATTAATGAAAACTGATTACCTATAACTTAAAAAGGCTGATGACTGAACATAAAACTGATTTGTTTTTTAACTTACTATTCCTTTATTGAATCAACGATTAATATTGTCTGAATCCCGATGTACATGCTAAAATGTACAACTTCCTTAATTTAGTCCATGAGTGTACATTTTGTCTTTTTGTCTCTAGTTATATGAAAAAAGACAAATATTAACACTATATTGCAATCCCAATCAACGTGAAAATATTTGAAATTATAAGTTTTTTTTTTTACAGTTTTATTGGCTGATGAGATTTGTCTACCTGTAATAGTATTTCTACAATTCGGTAGGGAGGTTGAGAATACCGCGCTATAAAAAATGAAAGAAAAGATAACCAGAAGGAACTCAGTATTTATTATTACTCATCTTTATGGCAGTGTATAGCTGATAACTTATTTGTTGTTGTTGTCGTGTCCAAAGAAGAGTCTCAGATGTCTCCATGCATCTCTCCATCACATCAGCAGCAATATCCACTATCTTGCTCTTAATTGGAAAATGGGTGCCGTTGCCACGTTAGTCACCTTGGAAACGAACAGAATTTGGTCGAATATTCCAAGGGTCCAGGGGGGACCGCAGGGAGGTGAATCTTCTTAGTATCCACACATTAGAAATTCACATCATTTCATAATATATTTAGATTCATATCATATAATACAATATAATGCATCTTATGATTGTAGAACGACGTTTGACAATTATACCGCAATTGTTTCTTTTGAACAAAAAATCGTAATTTATTTTAAGGAGAAATAACGACTATTTCTATCCTTAGGGATGAAGTATGAAAGGATGAATTGTGAAGAGTAATGATAA